CCCCCCACCGATTTGCTAGTGCAGTATTCAACTTCAGGCTCAATGGTGACACTCTCAATCTTTCTTGCGCCGTGCTACGTTTCTGCCGAGGAAAACAGACAATCGTACCAGTAAGACACCACTGACGCAGCCTCCCTCGTAAGACGCCAACACAAAGCAAACAGCAGATTCGTGACATGCTGCAGCCTCTTCGACAGAAACGCACACGATTCAGATGTAAGATGGCTTGCTTTCTTTCAAATCAAGTCAAGTTTATCAGTTTGTGCAACGGTTGTTGCTATCCGCATAAGCGCGTCCGTCCGAGACCCCAAGCAATTCATCTCAGAAAGCCAATTTTAGTCGGTTGCAACCCAGATCGAAGTTTTTCAGCCACGGCCACGACTCTTGACCCTAGGTGAGCATCAGGATGAACATCGACTTGAACACAAAGAGCTTAGTCTTAAGACTTACCTTCTGCTCTAGTCACAACGGTTGGGAGAAGTCATAGGAACGAGAAGGCATCAGGCCTGTCATTATGGACAAGTTCATACTTATGTCAGCCACGTCAAACACCGCTGCGTACCCTTGCATCAGGTGCTAGAAATCACTTACAGCATATGCCAACAAAACAAAGTCGTCGATGAACAGCAACCTTACCTTTCCATATGTCCCACGCTGATACACTCGTACCTCTGACTGGGTCTGACTACCCTATCCATACACAACCCAAACAGAAGAGGGAACGGAACGCACTCATGGCGGAGACCAAAGCCAACACTGAAAGCCCTCGACTTAGCGCCTTTTACTTTGATACAGCAACCTGCAATCACCATAAAATTAATAAATAGCTCGTAGCAAATGGCCATTGATCCCATATGTTGCATCGATGCCCATAGCTTGTTTCACGGGAACCAGTCACTGACTTTCTCTAGGTCAACAAAGCAAATGTAAACCTGATGAGCGAACTTCCACGAGTTTTCAAAAGTTTTGCCTAAGGCCAAGATCTGATCAGAGGCGTTTCAACCTGATCTGAAGTCACACTACTTTTCTTGCATCTTAGAGTCAGCTATGCCGTGGCGTTTCCTTACCAACATCATTGAGTAGACTTTACCCGGGAGGCTGAATAAGGTAATGTCTGGATAATTTAAGCACTCCCTATGGTATCTCTTATTGAACAGGAGTACTGCTATCGGCATCTTCACGTAGTCATTGCAGTCTGACAGACACGTATTAGCCAATACATGCCATTTTCGCCCTAACCTTGAAGCATTTCAGGACGGATTTCATCGCTTCCAGCAGCATTGCCATCTTTCAAGCTTCTCACAGCTTCTGTAACTTCATCTGCTGAAAGACTCATAAGTTATCTGCTGATCTTCAGCCGAGTCTTCCTGCGCCTTCAGGGTTAAGGAGTTCCTCAAAGTACTCTATTCATCGCTTAAGCATGTTCTCATCTTTGTTAAGATGGCGCTCTCGTTTCTATAAACGTATCCTCTGCGTTAAACGGTGTAAGACGCTTGCTCAGTTGCGACTCCGGGCAAAGTCCAAAGTTCAGTCTGTGCACAAAATCCAAATCAGACGGGGCACTGACGAACAAGATTAGAATGCGGATAGCACTGCCAATTTTCACAGTGACATAGAACGAGTTTGATCGTTTAATTAGAATGAGGCCGCAACTAAACATCATATTTGCATTTAAACCAGTTCCTATACTAGAAGCTGATAGCATATGACGTACGATGATTTTTTGCGAGATTTCATTACTCACTGGCACACTGCAGCTACTCGCTGTCACAGCCAGATATGCGCTTATTCTATCAGAGGCCTTCATAGCAGATCAAAAAATATGATACTGCTGCCGCGCACTTCACGGATGAATAATTGCGGTTTTCACTAATCCTTTTGTCACCTTAACGCATAAGTGTACATCAGAATGGCAAGAACATCCAGAGTACGCCATGATGATGGTGAGTGGTGACATCGGTGGAGTAACGACCGACACTAATGGCAAGGGAGTAAAATCTTGAAACTAATAATCAATGTATGGACATGTATAGCGGCAGCAAGTTTAATACCATAACGGCGCTGCAAATCTAACACAAGATCTGTGACAACCGGGAAGGAAAGAATACAAAAGCAAGTATAACAGATTTGCTTCCAGTATTCCAATACATTTCAATGCGCAATAAAGCAACGATCGAAATGAAGGTACTCGATAACATACGAAGAAAATGAAAGCAAAGAAACATTTCGGCAATTAAACCTGTTAGCTCAGGTAATCCGAATACTTACGAAACTAGCCACAAAACTACTAACAACCCATCCACACAAAACACAAATGCCTACGACTTTAAATCAGATCCCGCATTATCTACAGTATCTAAAACTTTAACAGCAGGTTACGATTCAATGGATGTCCTCGATGAACGCATTTTTCTTCGTCTACTCATTGGCAGCAATATTAGTAAAATTCATGTTATCTTTTAACATGCCATACATGACAGTCTCCTTTAGCCAAAAAATGTTAGATATATAGACATACGTTAGTTTGTAGACAAACGTAGTTGTTTGAGCCATTTATCAGCACGTAATGATGGACCATTCAAGAAACGAATCGGTGCAGGAACGAATAAGTTTCGCATAGTTTCCGTTCGGAAACAAATGTTCATCTCACAAGAATCACACAATTCGTAGCTAGGTATGGAGTAACTGCGATTTGCAGATCTAAAAATAAGCTTACTGGCTTCCTATCTGAGAATGACATCAAGCACAATAAGAAGATTCCAGAATAATTTCTTCGATACCTCCCGTGCGGAGAGAACTACATTAGAAAAGCTAGTAGTCGATGAAAGAACCGGACCAGTGAGCATATGGCTTGCCTGAGAAGGGCAGATGACAAAGGTTCTGAGCTTGCGGAACATATTACACTAAAGAACCGTGCCAATCGAAAGGAAGCACGCAGTATCATCCGGGAAGAAGCCAGTTGGTAGAAATGAAGGATTTTGAAAAAAAATCAATTTTAATAAACTATCACATAAGACTTAAAGTTTTGTATCTGTGCATATAGTTATATAGATGATTGGTTGAACGGTTCATGGCAAGGGGTCCATGAAATCGCAGCAGATAGTGAAATCCTTATGGCTAATGCGCTTCGATAAATTCAGCTAGCATCATTTAGGTTAGACACAAATGGCTTCTTGAATACATTTATATCAGACAGAGGTACATCGTCATTGTCTATCAATTGCTGCATATGCTTAACAAACAAAACGTTGCTAAACTGCTTTGGCAGAATGTTAACCAATGCAATGTAAAATATACATTAACATGCAATCGCTGGAGCTCACTTATCCGGTTTATGTGTTGTGCGGACCTGATGGAAGCCAGTGCCTGGATCTCGTGCAAAACGCTACAGTCGTGCCTGAAAACGTACGGAACGGATGAAGGGTTGTTACTAGTCATTAAGTCACTATATGATGATTGCAGGCGCCGCGTTAGAGTAAATGGCGTTACGTCGAGACCTATGATCGGTGGCATTGGTCTTCGCTCGCCAAGGCTGCCTTCTATCGCAACTCCTTTTCGTTTAGTGCATGGATGGATTACTCAGATGTGGCTGGGGGAATAAGTGCATTAGCATTATAGATATAGAGACGTAAAATTGCCTTTTGCAGACGGCTTTGTTTTCTGGTATCTTCTGAAACTTATCTCAAGCTCTGCCTGAATAGATTTTTAGCCGAGTGCTACCTGGCCCTCATGTATATGAACACGTCTAAAACGAAAAGTGTAGTTATCTTGCTTTCTGCAGATTTGCGGTCTGTAAATAATTGAAGTGAAAGAGACGGAGCAATTCCTCCATCTCGCTCTAACGTTTACTGAGTCAGTCAGTGAATTTCGGATCGTGGTGATAGGCGCGTCAGACAGTGTCTCCAACGTTTGCAGTTTTGCAATATTCGAGCTTACTTGTCTCTTAAAATTTGAGCACGAGAAGCGCCGGCGAATTAGAACTTCCATCGGTGTTCGCGTGAATTATCCCCAGCTGTTCATTCAAAGGTAAAGTTGAAACTGAAGACTAAGCGTTTTGTCTTCATGTTAACTTTCTTTCCAGTTCTCATTTACTAAACTCGAGTAGAGGCAATGATGACAACCTTTGATCCCTCGTTGCAGCAGCTGCAATGGGCTGTCTGAGGCGAATCACCTGGGACTCGCGTATCGAAATATTTCATAATACAGATATTTAAGAGAACACTGATCTACAGCCGCTGCTTCTCAAATAGAGTAATCGCAGCTACGATGGTTTGGGCACATCTGGCGAATGTTTCCAGAGGGGAAAGCGAAGGAACTTCGATCCCCCAAAATGATCGGCCGAAGACCTTAAGAACAACGAAGAAAGATCTGGGTCAAATATCCGGACACTCTCTGCTCGCGACTCCGATTATTTTATACCAGAACTTAAATGCTGGCACAGATCGAGAACGTTAGAAGCACTGCCTGACGTAACTGCCTCCGCGAGCCGCAAAGACGAACGGTCATGAACATAAATCGTTATTCACTTTTCAATTTAATTATACAGTCGTTTTCAAACAAAATCTTTTGACCTATTAAAGTAGCAGATATTCAACTTTTAATCTCTTTAGATTTTTCTTTAATTAGGTACATAACCGTTGTACTGTTAAAACAGATCTGATTTATGGTTACGAAAGCAGGTATGGTGGTACTGTTTTGATATTTCACTTACGGCAGCGCATACGAATGACATGCTGGTATTAACCGTTGTTGGACGAATGTTAGCAGGTGCTGATTTATCTGTCAGCTTTGTGTTGTTGAGAAAGACTGATTTGTACATCAGTTGCTGTGCATAGCAGATCACTGAAAGTTGACGATCACTGAGCGCTATTTTAGGCCAACTGTGTTACGGGCAGGAAATTGCTAACATGGCCACTGGCACATACGTAGACGTTTATTCAACAGAGGACGAATTGCGGTCGAACATCAGCCATAGTTCTCTAGTATGCACGACGTGTTCAAAGACGTTCGCCAACGCTCCAGCGCTGCATCTGCACCAAGTGAAAACACACAAGTTGCTGAACGGTTCGGACAGTGACGAGCGACTGCTACGCAGGATTCGTCGTTCCGATGTCGACAAACCCGTTGGCAATGGCACTGACACACAAGTGCGCTATTTTTGTCCGCGGTCCGACTGTAAGTACTCGGCACCGAAAGGAGGTGGCCGTAACCTTAGCGTCAGATCCCGAGGTGACAACGGCGATCGTAGTTGGTTTCTGTCGTATCGCGTACTGAAGCAGCATTACCAGCGCGTGCACATGGCCAAGCGTTTCACTTGCTCGAAATGTCATTACCAGCGATTCAGTCTGCTTCGTGACAAAACATACCATGAAAAGCACTGCGACCCTTCCCGCCTGCAGGCCGTGCACTGTAACACGTCCGCTCCTCTCGCTTCCGGTCGCCCTGAGTCTGTAGCGGCATCGGCCGCCTCAAAACCTGTATGTTGCATAGCAGTCGCCGTGACCACAAGCTGCCCTGCGACGACGATAAATAACCTCGGAACTAAGTAAGTGCATTTCGCATCGCGGCCTCTTACAAGTTTTGTTACTCGGCCGGGTTTCATAACTGACGCGCTTCAGATAGCTTTAATACTTCTGTTCAGTGATACTGTATTGTGTAGGTAAACTAGGCGTGGCTATTTAAAATATTTGCCAAGAATATATAGCATTTTTAGTAACTACTTTTGATTTTGGATGGAGAACTATTTCCTGTTCCGGCTTGCGAAGGAGGTATTTTTAATTTTTAATGGCCTCTATCAATTGTTGCGGTTACAGTCTTTTATATTTTTTTAAATTTATTATTTTTTGTTACACGCGCGTTTTAGTCAGCTGATAGGTGGTATGAAGAACTGCAGCCACTGGGCGCAGAAGCCAGAGACAGTACTGTGATTTCATGCCTCGCGCGCTCTGGTATGACCACACAAGCGCAGGATCCGTTTCGCATCGTACCTTGTTGCTGCCCTTACTACTCTGCCGGTTGTATCGAATCACTGTGGAGTGAAATCTTTGCTGAATGCAGTTGGTAGCTAGAAATAATTTATGCCTTGCGAGGACTCGAATCTGGCACTTCTGAGCGAGAACAGCCAACCTGAATTCCACTGCACAACTTTTTCTACTTACGCTGTGGGTTTCATTCCATTGTAGGTAAGAATCGTGTAATTATTATCTTAGTGA